TCAATGCAAAGTTAGGTTGAGCAGGTGGTGCCATTGATCTACAACAGAAAATATGCAATCACTAAGCAATGTGTTTATGTAGAGTAATTCGCCTAAACAGAAATACTCCCACTGAAGTCAGCATCCCTCCGCAAACTCTCAGTGATTCAGGATCCAACTAGCGCATGCGACTAGTGAGCTTTAGCATCACTGCTAGCCAACATACATATCCGGTAAGCAACTCCTTGCTAATCGTATCTCTATACGACTCCTGTCAGTCGGGAAGGTATCTTATACCCCGGCTCCCAACCTTCTTTGCCACAAGGCCCAAAACCGTTTTGATAGCCTCGTCAAGTTAACCTGATGCAGTGCATGTCCATGTCCGACACGAACCCTTCAGTTCAAGGACACCTAGCAGCACCCCAATTTTATGAGCCCACTACTAGACGTACTTGACATGCGAAGGTGCAACATCGGGAATGGCAATTTACTTGTTATTCATGAGGGATCTTTCTACCATTCTAACATGCATAGAAACAAAGAAGCATAACAATCACAAATAAACACATATTGTGAAATAGTATGGCTCCTTCATGGACGTTCTTCCAGGTCGGCTCCGACTCCGATGACCATCTAGGAACTCCATCTTGTTTGTCACGCCGGGACGCCAAGCCACCAACCTGATCTCTATTATCCAACTACTACAACTAGTAATGAATTTTACATAGAGCATCACAAGTCGACAAGCAGGTCGTTATACATTATAATGACAACACTTTGGCTCCTGCCGGCTGACAAACATGACACGCAGGCCACGTATAAATTACACACATGTATCACATACACATGAGCCATACTATTCACATCAAACCTGCAAAACAAAGTTATGCATAGAATCGTATTCTACCAGTTTGTGTGTCGGGTATGAAATACACGGCGGAAATCACAGATCGCATCTGAACTCCGTTCTCGCCGAATTTTCTGATCTGACCAATCATATCGATCATCGCGAATCCGATTCGGATTTACGTTTCACTGTTAACCCCGATGGCGGATGACCGACCGGTAGGGGTATATCGTGTCACGAACTCATCGATCCCGATTGACATAAAACATAGCCTCAACGATCCCCATGTGCAATTGATTACATCAACCATGCACATAGCCGATCTTGTCAACGACAACAGATCTCATCTGTCGCCTCCACATATCTAATATGCATACGATCTGAATCCAAATCCTATAGCAGAGGCTCTGATACCACTGTTGGGATCTACTGTAGGGTGCGTCGACTGCAAACTAAAATTTTCTACGCGCAGAACAATCAAGAAAATGCTACGGGAGATGGATCACAGTTCGTTACCACTAGACGTGCAATGCCGTGCAGCGAAAGAAGAGTTGGGGCAGCGCGTCCGTGTGGATCGTCTCCTCCTCATCCGATCTCCCTCGAACAGTCAGTCGTCCGATCCCACGTACAAGTTCGCCGGAGCGGCGCAAGTGCACCGCCTCTAACGGTATCCGCGCGTGCAGGAGGAACACCATGCGGCGGACTGCTAGGTCCGATCACACAGTCGGCGGCGAGTGGAGGTGGCCATTCGCAACACATGCAAACCCTAGTCGCAATGCCGAAGCGATCAATCGCATGAGTGTGCCGCACCTCCACTTTATATAGGCTTCCGTCGCAGGCTCAACACTTGGGCCTCGCACGGACCCTAAAGCCCAAAGTCTACTCGGTCACGTTCCTAGTCCAGTTCGGATCACATCCGACTAGTGTCCTACGAACCGACCTCGTAGGTTCCTTCCCTTAACCGCGCGACCCCTTAGGTTCAAGTCGGCTTGGTCGTGGTTCGGGTCACCTCCGACCTGCACGGTTGGTAGCGGACTCTAGCAAGGTGTGCCAACCACCAAGCAGACTATGAAGCTGGTTAGGCGAACCTGTACAACGTGTCACACTTCTGTTCCCTTTTCCGCACGATATATGTTGTCGGGCTCAAGGCAAGACTGTCATCCTTGTGCTAGCCCAACCTCTTTCTCGTTCCAGTGATCTCGACCACTACCCGGATTATCTCATAATCCTTGTCACATGGCCATGCTTCTCCTGGTCGGATCACACGAGGGGCCCAGAGTATATCTCTCCTGATCGGAGGGGCAAATCCCATCTTGCTCGACCATGTCTCGTAGCATGGGACTGGACAAACCCAAAACCTACCTTTGTAACTACCCAGTCACGGAGTAGCGTTTGGTCGGCCCAAAGCAAGTCTGTCACCATCCCGAGTACATGCGTCAGCTCAGGTCTTAGGACATAGAACGTATGTTGTACTAGAGACTCACAGATGACATATCATTGCGTCTCATAGCTGGGTCTGTCCGACTCGGACCTTATCTCGACTCGGATCCGACTACGTCGAATCCGACCAGACCTTTCCAAGTCCATATTATCCGGTTAGCATCCAATGCTCCATGGCTAGTGAGACCAAGCCATCGACCATGTCATATGCTAGTCTAGTCGGCTGCGCGTCCACACAGCCCTTTCGACTAGGGACCTTTTATACACATTATTGATAATGTCCAAGGACTATCTTTATTCATAAACACATAGGAAATATCATCATACATGATTGCCTCTAGGGCATATCTCTAACAATAGGCACATCATTGGTCCCGGTTCATGGCTTGAACCGAGACTAAAGGACACCCTTTGGTCCCGGTTCAAGCCACCAACCAGGACCAATGGTGGTGGGCCAGGAGGGAGGCCCATTGGTCCCGGTTCATCCCACCAACCGGGACCAAAGGGGCCAGATGAACCGGGACCAATGCCCCCACGAGGCCCGGCAGGCCCCCTGGCCTCACTAACCGGGACCAATGCCCCCATGGGTCCCGGTTCATGGCTGAACCGGGACTAATGGGCTTATCTGGCCTGAACGAAAGCCCTGTTTTCTACTAGTGTTAGTATGCTAAGAAATGAGTTACCATCAGGTGGAGCTCCGTCGGGGCAGCTCGCGGCGACGCGCCGTGGTGGGGGTTGACTCGGTTTTCGACCTCAGGTTCTAGTGCAATGAATGCCGGTGACGTTGAACGCGGGCGTGAGGCGTGAAGATGGGGAGGAGGAGGATACGCATATCAGTGGCGATGGCATGACGGGCAGAAGAAGCCTCAGCAGCAGATGGGGAGCGCCGCCGGCAGCGAGGAAAGCGGCGGCGAGTTCGACAACCATGGAGCTGGAGCTGGACGACGGAAGCGGCCGCACATTTCTTCTCTCCATGCTTGCGGTTTTTTTAGGGCGGAAAGACTGGCTTTATTACTCAAAATCCACATGTTGTGGGATACAGAAAGGATCATGAGGGTGGAGCAACCAAACATGTCGCCCATGATCCAGCGAGTAAGAGAATTTAGCTAGTCTATCAGCATCTACGTTTGCATCTCTACCTTCGAAAGTAATTTTACAATTAATCAAAGAAGCACAATAGGAAATCTCTCTGATTATCGGCCCATACAACCCTTCCGTCCCTGAGTTGATATCTCGAACGACTTGCTTTGCGTCTGAGGCAATGAGTATGTCTTGTAGGTGTAGATCCTCGACCAGCGCCAAACCCTTCCTGATGGCTATTGCCTCCATTGCCGCTACACTTGTGATGCCGTGTATCACCAGAGCAGAGCTTCCCAAGAAGTTGTCGTTCGCATCTCTGCAGACCGCTGCACAAGCTCCTCCCACATGAGATCTTGCCATTGCGCCGCATCCGTGTGGACTTTAGCTAATCCCGGTGGTGGAGCTTTTGGTCTGACCTGTAGTCGCTACCCTCTCTGGCTGGTTGCTTTCTTCTCTGGTTTCAGCATATCAAGTTCCTGGATAAACCTACTTATAAACTGATATGTGGCTGATGGACTCTGGTAGATCTGCTCATGAATGGCCTGTCTCCTCGCCCACCACATGGCCCACAACGTGACCGAAAGCTTGACAAATGCAGCATGTGATAATGAGTCTTTCATCAGGAAAAGCCATTGTCTAGCACTAGGTTTTGAAGTCTCTCACAGATGCTCCGTGAGCTCGCCATCGACCATGGCCCAAACGCACCTTGCCACTGTGCACTCCAGTAATGAGTGCCTCCACAAGTCCGCCGCTCAACAGAGGCCGCAGGATGTTGTGGTGGACATTTTTTGATGAGCTCGGACATCCTCGATCGGCAATGATTGCTTAGCAAGACGCTATAAAAACATTCTGGTTTTACCTGGTACCTGTGTTTGCCATAGCTGCTTCCAGGATGTCTTGTCATGACCAATGCTTGACGAACCAGCGCCTCCTTCCAACCAAGCTTCTCTCCTCCTCTTGGTCTCTACCATCATCCTGTAGCATGACTTCACTGTGAACTGACCGCTTCTCTCAAAGTGCCACGCCCAGGAGTTAGAGATGATTCTTGTACATAATGGTATTGATCTTATAGCCGGCACATCGATAGTTAGGAAGATTGCAGAAAGTTTATCCGTGTCCCATGTGGCTGTTGTGTGGTCTATGTGGCTGTTGTGTGGTCTATCAGTTCAGATACGAGCTCCGGGCCCATTTCTCATGTTTGTCACCGGGCCCAAAAGCGGCCCAAAAGCTACAATGGGCAGCATATCCTTTCGTGGACCTTCAGTAGAGAAACGGGCAGCATATCCGCTCTCTTGCATTTGCTAGCCCTAAAAAAACATTTGCTTACATCTTTCCACAAAAAAAGTCTTCACCACTTATTTGTGAGTACTATTACAAATCCAAAGGGAGGAAGTATATGCTTCTCGGGTTACTCAAAATGTCCACCATAAAACTAAAGCTTTCAGCATACTACTTTAACTTACTCGACCGACAAAGGAAAACCTGAACCAGAAATCTTACATAGGGAAAAAAACAACCACGTAAAATTTAACATCCAAACATTTTATATAGGAAAATCTGTTCAATGGTGCACTTGTTTGTGTGTCCAAACATGAATCACCCAACTGCAGATTTGTGAGCAGTTTACGAAACAAGGGACAACGCAGCTAAACATTTAACGTCCCTCCAGTGTTGTGATGCTCATGTTATTCTCAGATCTTCCCATATATTTTCTCCAGTCTTCAGCTTCATGATTCCGCAGTGAGAAATATGTAGGTTTCTTGGGGGCAGGAAGCAGAGCTGTTTCGTTCTCTAACATGAACACAATGGATGACATGGGTGGCCTAGCATTTGGGTGGTCTTGAACACACAGGAGCCCTATGTGAACACATCGTAGAACCTCATCAAGTGGACAACTCTCCACAACCAACCGGTCCACCAATTCCCTTGTATTTCCATCAACCCATAAGCTCCATGCCTGAACAAGTGAAATCGATTTCTGGTCAAATCATCATGAGTGTTTAAGCCGTTGAAAATTAGAACGTTTCAGTAATACTTACGTATGCTATAAGGTTTGGAAAGTCCATTGTGAGATGGGGTGAGCTAATCCTTAATCCACTTACAATCTCCAACAGCAGAACCCCAAAGCTGCAGGTGTCAGACTTGACAGAAAAGTAGCCTTCCATCGCATATTCAGGAGACATGTAACCACTATTGAATGATTCCAAGGAAAATGAATTAGATATAAGAAAATACCACACTGCAAATAGCCTGTGCATATATTACTTACTATGTCCCAACAACCCGGTTAGTGTTTGCTTGTTGCTCGTTTCCTCCAAAGATCCTTGCCATACCGAAATCAGATATTTTAGGGCTCATTTGTGCGTCCAGCAAGATGTTGCTTGCTTTGAGATCTCGATGAATTACTGTTAATCTTGAATCTTGGTGGAGATAAAGAAGCCCTCTCGCTATCTCTTTAATGATCATGAACCGGCTCAGCCAATCAAGCATAAATTTTTTTGTAGCATCTTCCAAAAGCAGTGCAAAATGAGATATATTGTCAGCCATAATTACCAAAAAAAACATTTTAGTTAAAGTATAAATATTTTGCGAGACTTGAATGTAAGTACATAAGTCAGAACATACCAAAAGAGTCAATTACACCCCTGGTACCACAACTTGGGGCGAAAAGTCGGTTTAGTGCTAAAACTTGCGACATACATTGAACTGGTGCTACAACTTGGCTTTGGCGTGCATATACGGTACAAATCACGTTGTTGTACGAATAAGGTGCTGATGAGGCATGCCAACATGGCATAGGGCCCGCTGTCAGCGTCTGGACGGCAAAGTGGACGTGTGGCCTGCTATTTTGCAAACAAAAAAACTCAGAATTTTTTTCTCAAAAAAAGACCCTGCCGCGGCCATAAGGGTCCATTTATCAGCGTCACACTAATAATTGAAAAAAGCAGCGTGCGCGCGGGATACTCGAACAGCTAACATGTAGGATGCAGGAGGGCACTGCTAAACAGGATGCTGCTGCTAGTTATATATATTCTCTGACTATTAAGTGGGCTGCTGTGCATGCATCCCATTTTGCATTGTGTTTTTGCCCGAAATTTACTCAATATATGTAAATTATAATAGTGTGTTATAAATAATATATATAAGCTATAAAATCATTTATTGATTTAAAATTTATCCATACCATAAATTATGAATTTTAAAACTCTTCATGCGATAATTTGCATATTGAATAAAAACATATATTCAGTAAATGCTTATATAAGTTTAAAATTGTTCACAATATTAACAATATAAAAATATTAATGTTTTTAAAAAAATGAATAAATGCTTATATAAGTTTAAAAGTGTTCAATGTTTTAAAACAATATTAATGTAGTGTGTAAAAGTGTTCATGTTTTAAGAAAGTTTTTTAGTTACTATATATTTCCATAAATTCCTAAATAAGTTTTAATATATTGACAGTTTTAACAAATTATTCATGTAGTATATATAAGTGTTCATGCTTTCAAAAGTATATATTCATATAATGTAAAAATAGTTGGCTGGGATTAGAAGCAGCGACATGTAGTCAACATGTGTGAGTGGCCACCACACCACTCAGCAGCATTACTTTTTTTAGGAATTTATAGAATATATGTAAATTATATTCTTATGCTATAAATAATAATAATAATAATAATAATAATAATATAGAATAATATTACATTATAAAAAGATTCAAGTATTAATACATATAATTATATATTTTACTTCATGATAAATGGTAATATAAGTTAAAATATTCGTGATTTTAATTAAAAAATATGTAGTATATAAAAGTGATCATTGTTATTCTGAAATTTATTTTCTTTATAACACACGATTACAGTTTGCATGTATTTTTTAAGAAATAACTGTGCAAAATGGGCCACTGGAACTCCAGCCCACTTAAGTCGAAGCGTTATATAGGTTTTGTGTTAGTTTATTACAACATCGTTGTCTGGTGTATGGGTTGACAGGGTCTCTTTCGTGAGAATTTTTTTTGCACGATAGTATGGGTTGCTGAAAGATGGACCCCACGCGCCTCCGTCTGTGATGAAAATATCGGTCGCTGACAGGGTCTCTTTCATGAGAATTTTTTTTACACAATAGTATGTGTGGCTGAAAGATGGACCCCACGCGCCTCCGTGAGGAAAATATCTGTCGCTGACAGGGTCTTTTTCGTGAGAAAATAATTTCCAAGGTGCTTTCTGCAGAATAGCAAGCACACGCATGCAGTCGCTGACAGCAGAGGCCCATGCCACGTTGGCGCGCCTAATCAGCAACATGTTCTATAAAAATATAATTTGCACCGTATATGCACGCCAATGCCAAGTTGTGGCACCAGTTCAATGTACGGCGCAAGTTTTAGCACTAAACTGATTTTTCAAGCCAAGTTGTGACACCAGTGGTGTAATTGACTCATACCAAAAAGGAAGGCATCCAAACTCCTGTTAGGTAAGTATTCGTAGATGAGTAACTTCTCATCTTCATGAATGCAGTAACCAAGAAGCCTAGCTAAGTTTCGGTGCTGCAATTTGGCAATCAGAACTACTTCATTCTTAAACTCCTCAATCCCTTGCCCAGAACCCATATTAAGCCTTTTGACAGCAACTTCCATGCCATCTTCCAATATTCCCTACATGAGCACATCCTTTTTTAGTTTAACTAGAGAACAACAAAAATATTTCTTCTTCAGAAATTGCCAAGCCAAAACTGTTTATTACCTTGTACACTTTTCCGAAACCACCTTTTCCAAGCATGTTGTAATCAGAAAAGTTGTTTGTTGCAGTGAGAATTTCGTCAAAACCAACAGATGGAAGTTCTGTATCTTCGTTCCCAAGTTTGTAAGCATTCAAGTGCTTTAGCATATGTGTGTTCTGACCTTTCCTTCGGCGCTTACCTGACAGGATAATTTTAAATGAATTTGTCATTAATATTGGTTACTGAGGGAAAAAGGTGAATAAAAAGTTTTTCTACCTCGTGACTTGCATCCAAGGTATATGCACGTGAGTACCAACAGACAAGCCACCGCCGGGAGTACAATCTTCAGTATAACGATCTTTTTTTCATTAGCTGCAGATTTGTAGTACACCAAGAGAATAATGTCATGCATTTGTTGCAAGTGTCATATTTACCATGAATAATACAACATCATAACAACATATCATGCACTGCAAACTCTGGATAAACAATCATTACTCGATACTAATGTAGAATTATCTGATGATGCCAAACGAGCTAGCATATAGGCTCATGAACATGTAACTATTACCATGTGAAATGAATAAATCAACTAAACTCTGATGAACTGGATGCCAACTGATGACAGGGTCCTAAAGAAGCAGAATCTGAAAACAAGACAGATTTTGATGCAAGGTGGGGATAATACAATTGGCAGTACTGAACAGGCCAGGAATAAAACAGATAAATATATGCAATAGCCAAATAATATATTAATTTAAATTCTATGATCATCATCTGATAGTACCATATTCAACATGGCACCGTAAAAGGAGAGCGTCAGATGCGCAATAGAGGTTCAGCTGAACGTAATTGTAACTGCGACATGCTATTATAGTAGCTACCATATAAACTTACATCAACAGGCAATCAATTGCACTGCATAATCATTAAGATGGGTAAGGAAAGGCAAATACTGGATGAGCTGGAAATACGGAGGTAAAGATTTTCACTAGCACCACTAGCAGGCTTCCCTGTGTCAACAAGCTCCCCCATCCAAACCAAGCACCTCGAACTGTCTCCAACCGTATCGAGACTGCCAAGACTGCTTAGGTTGGCGTACGCGTAAGCGTTGCATGAGCAGTTGCTTCTGCATTCTTCTGCGCATTGGTCGAAGCTTCTATTCCTGATGTACAGGAACTTGTCAGGCGTTTTCATGCCAGACAAAGTTATGAAACTATCTGTACCATCACATTTCAACTCTTTCTTTCTCCGACATCCTAGGGAATAGTTAAGGCCAGCAGACTCAAAACCATCAAGGCACTTGCATGTTGGAATCGCCTCTGTGCCATCACAGTAGCCGAATGGGCCGCACGAAGCATAGCTATCACAGCCATGACTGGGGTACTCCATGAAAACATCCCAAGACGACGACTTGCTGTTCCATGTAAGGACCTTCACCATGCCCGTATAGTGCAGTTTCGCGAGCATATTTGGTGAGCCATTGGAGACGGTGTATGTTATATAGAACTCAGTGTTAAACAGGTTATTGTACCTGTCACGGCTGTTCAAGGAGATATACGCTCGGCTTAGAGATAGACTTGGTAGTTAGCTTTCATATCTATCTAATGTAACCATCTCTATCCCTTTCTCTCCAAGATTGTAATCTCCTGTAATATCTCAACCTTTCTGTATGCGCATCAGGGTTATTGCGCCCCTGCCTATAAACACGAAGCCGTCTCCTCCAACGAGGGTAAGAGACGTTTCCGCATATGGCGCATGGTTATCAGAGCCTTCCTACTTCCCATCTAGCTTCTCCCGATTTCCAATCGTGCCCTACACCATGTCTTCCTCCTCCGGCGCATCTCACCCTAGCCTCAGTGGGCAGGTCATTGAGAAACTCTCCCGCACGAACTACGTGCTATGGCGCACACAGATCACGCCGCAGTTGCGTGGCGCCAGTGTCTTCAACTATGTTGACGGCACCTCGCCGGAGCCGGCCAAGCTTCTCGCCGCCAAGGACAAGGACGACAAGGAGACTTTCGAGCCCAACCCTCTCCACCCAATTTGGGTCAGGGAGGACCAGCAGGTGCTCGGTTATCTGCTGAGCAACCTCTCCAAGGAGGTGCTCGTCACGGTGACCACGGTCACCACGACGCAGGCGCTCTGGACGACGCTGGCGGGCATGTACTCGTCGCAGTCGCTGAGCCGCGTCAACAACATCCGCACCTCCCTCATCAACGCGCAGAAGGGCAACCAGAACGCCGCCGCCTACTTCGCCTCCATGCGCGGCCTCGCGGACGAGCTCGCCGCCGCCGGCAAACCGATCCAGGATGACGAGCTCATCTCGTATATCTTGCATGGGCTAGATATGGAGTACCAGCCCCTCATCTCGGCTCTCGACGCGCGCGTCACACCTGCCTCCCTCGACGAAATCTTCTCCATGCTCAGCAACTTCGAGCAGCGCATGGCGCAGTTCCACGGATCGGGCGGTGGCGGCTTCAAGTCTTCAGCCAACGTTGCTACCCGTGGGCGCGGTGGTGGCTCTCGCTATCGCGCTCCTTCCCGTGGCAAGGGGAGGTCAGGAGGTGCACGTCCCACCAGTGGCGGCGGAGGCGGCCGATCTGGCAACAGAGGACGTCGCGGTGGTGGCTCTGGCAGGACCCGTCCCGATGCTCCGCGGTGCCAGATCTGCGGCAAACCTGGTCATACTGCCAGGGACTGCTAGTACCGCTATGACGAGGACGAGGAAGACCCCCAAGATGATGAAAAGGTCGCAGCGGCGGCAGATGGCTCCTACGGCGTCGACACCAACTGGTACCTCGACAGCGGCACCACCAACCATCTCACTGGAGAGCTAGAAAAAGTGACTCTCCGTGAAAAGTACCACGGCAAGGATCAGATTCACACCGCCGACGGTGCAGGTATGCGGATCAGTCATGTTGGTCATTCAGTTATACATACCCCTCATCGCAAAATACACCTTAGAAAAATCTTGCATGTCCCTAGTGCTCATAAGAATCTTCTTTCTGTCCATAAAATTGCCATTGATAACCATGTCTTCCTTGAGTTTCATCATTTCTTCTTTTTGATCAAGGATCAGGTCACGAAGAAAGTACTCTATCGAGGTAGATGTGTTCGAGGGCTTTATCCGTTGCTTCCGGAGTTTTCAAGATTCAATAAACAAGTCTACAGTGCCATCAAATTATCTTCCACACGATGGCATGATCGCTTAGGACATGCTTCTTTTTCTTTGGTTGAACGTTTGCTTAGAAAGAATAAGCTCCCGTTTGTTGGAGAGCGTAATACTGAAACTATTTGTGATTCTTGCCAAAGAGCAAAATGTCATCAATTGCCATACCCTATTTCTACTAGTGTTTCTACTCAACCTTTGCAATTAATCTTCTCAGATGTTTGGGGCCCTGCCCCCAGTTCTGTTGGTAGACACACATATTATGTTAGTTTTATCGATGACTACAGTAAATTCTCTTGGATTTATCTTCTTAAGAAAAGATCCGATGTTTTCCAAGTGTTTCAGAATTTCCAAGCGTTAGTAGAACGCAAGTTTGATCGTAAGATCATTGCTGTCTAATCGGACTGGGGAGGGGAATACGAGAAGTTCAATTCCTTCTTCCAAACTCTTGGCATTTCACACCACGTGTCATGTCCACACGCTCACTAACAAAACGGTTCGGCTGAGCGCAAGCATCGCCACATTGTTGAAGTTGGTCTTGCTCTTCTAGCCGGTGCTTCTATGCCCCTTAAGTTTTGGGACGAAGCCTTTTTGACCGCCGTGCACATTATTAACATGCTTCCTAGTCGTGTCATACACAACGAAACTCCCATGGAACGGCTACTCAACACCAAGCCAGACTACAAATCCCTTCGTGTCTTTGGCTGTGCGTGTTGGCCAAATCTCCGTCCCTATAACAATAGGAAGCTTATGTTTAGGTCAAAACAGTGTGTATTTCTTGGGTACAGTGCCCAACAGAAAGGTGTTAAATGTCTTGATGTTGCCACTGGTCGTGTCTATATATCCCGTGATGTGGTTTTCGACGAAACAAAGTTCCCTTTTTCTTATCTACACCCAAACGCCGAAGCTCTTCTTCGCAAAGAAATTCTTCTCTTGTCTCCTCATCTCACTGGCCTTGATCAAGGGGGTAATAACTGTGATGATCAACTAGTGACTAATCCCATGTATGAGCCTTGTGATGATGCAGGAGAACATGCAGAAAAAACCAGGGCCAAAATAATGAAGAAATCGCCCCAACGCAGCTATATCACATGTGTCCAGGCGCAGGGAACAAATCCTTCCTGGGATCCGTGCCATCAGATGCGTCAGGCGCATCGTCTTCGGGATCACCGCCTGCAGGCGCGCCAGGCGGGCCAGGGCGATCCGCCTCCGAATCCGCGCCGGCTCCCTCGTCAGATGCGGTCGGGCGCTCGGGCGGGAGCGGCCCCGCCATCTACACCTGGCAGCCCTCGGGTGGCCCCGCTGGGACGCGCTTCCCGGCCCAGCCGCTTTGCTACAAGCGGCGCGAAGCGGCTCGCTCGACAGGCGCGGGGCCAGGTGCGGGGACAGACGCGGAACCCCGTGCTGATGCGCCATCATGCGACAATGACGAGGTGTGCAGGGCTGGATCTTCTGTGGATGTTGCACCATGCAGAACTCGTTCGACTGCCACAGAAAATCAAGCTCAGGTGGACTCGGCTGGAGCTGCGGCGGAATCCACCTCCAGATCAACTGGAACAGCAGATCCGGTGCATGTCACGGGATCTTCTGTGGCACAAGCTTCAGCAACATCGTCCCAACACCGCACACGACTACAAAAAGGGGTAATCCCGCCTGTCAATTATAAGCACATAACAAAATATGGTCTGGTCTGTTCCACAGGTGAACCTGGTGAGCCACACACGCTTGAAGAGGCAATTGGTGATGAAAAATGGAAAAAGGCCATGGATGAAGAATACATGGCATTACAGAAAAATAAGACTTGGCATTTGGTTCCTCCACAGCAAGGTAAAAACCTCATTGATTGCAAGTGGGTATTCAGAATTAAAAGAAAATCTGATGGAACCATTGATCGCTATAAGGCAAGACTCGTTGCAAAAGGCTTTAAACAACGTTATGGTATAGACTATGAGGACACCTTTAGTCCTGTTGTAAAAGCTGCCACCATTCGCCTGGTTTTGTCTATTGTTGTTTCCAGGGGCTAGAGTCTCAGACAGCTAGATGTACAGAACGTGTTTCTCCATGGTGTTCTGGAAGAGGATGTGTATATGAAGCAACCAGCTGGGTTTGTGAACAAGAATGCACCTTCTCATGTGTGCAAACTTGACAAGTCATTATATGGACTGAAGCAGGCTCCAAGAGCATGGTACTCTCGTCTCAGTCACAAAATGCAAACTCTTGGCTTTATTCCTTCTAGGTCTGACACCTCATTGTTCATCTACAACAAGTATAACACACATATATTTGTTCTCATATATGTTGATGACATTATTGTCACAAGCTCTTCAGATAAGGCAATAACAGGACTTTTGAAGGATCTTGGGTCAGAATTTGCACTCAAGGATCTTGGAAGCTTGCATTATTTTTTAGGAATTGAGGTAAAGAAACACGATGATGGACTTCATCTCTCTCAGGAAAAATATGCAACAGATCTGGTTAAGAAAGCTGGCCTGCAAGGTTGTAAACCTTCACCTACTCCATTGTCAAGCTCAGAAAAATTGTCTCTTACAGAAGGACAACCTTTAAACCAAGATGACAGCACAAGGTATAGAAGTCTAGTAGGAGCACTGCAATACTTGACACTCACTAGACCAGATATATCTTTTGCTGTTAACAAAGTTTGCCAGTTTCTTCATGCATCCACTACAGTTCATTGGACTGCTGCAAAACGTATAGTTAGATATGTCAAGAATACTCTCAATCTTGGTCTCAATTTTAGCAAGTCATCATCAACACTTGTCAGTGCCTTCTCAGATTCTGATTGGGCAGGATGTTTAGATGATAGACGCTCAACTGGAGATTTTGCAGTATTCTTTGGTTCTAACTTGATTTCATGGTGTGCAAGAAAACAAGCTACTGTTTCCAGATCCAGTACAGAAGCAGAGTACAAAGCATTGGCTAATGCTACAGCTGAGATTATATGGGTACAATCCATGTTGAAGGAACTTGGTGTCAAAAGTACTCAAGCTCCATGTTTGTGGTGTGATAACCTTGGTGCCACTTACCATCTGCTAATCCTGTTTTTCATGCAAGGACCAAGCATATTGAGATAGATTTTCACTTTGTAAGAGAAAGAGTTGCCAAGAAGCAACTTGACATTAGGTTTGTGCATTCCAGAGATCAAATCGCAGATGGATTCACAAAACTTTGCCTACAAGAAGCTTTGAAGACTTCAAACATAATCTCAACTTGATGAAGTTGTGATTAAGAGAGGGTGTTAAACAGGTTATTGTACCTGTCTCGGCTGTTCAAGGAGATA